TGAACTCAGTACCTCTCTGTCTGCTCAGGATAGGAAGTGAGTATTACGTGCAGGTCAGAATGACCAGAGAGCCACGTCACTGGGTTTTTAAAAAAAGTGTCTTTTAATTGTAGTTGACGCACAATATTCTATTCGCTTCAGGCATAAACAGTGGTTAAAAGGTTATATACTAAGTGGTCACCTGATCATTGTGTATCAGGCACGGATGCACTAAGGACCACCGCCAACCTGAAACGGTAAGTGCCAGACACTGCGCCAGAATAAACATTTGTTCCACAAACCCCACTGAAACCCTGCATTTTACCTAGCTCCTAGGACAGTGGTCGGCAAACTGTGGCTCGTGAGCGGTTTGCCGCTCTGTTGACTAATGAGTTTGCTGACCACTGTCCTAGGAATTAGGGTTGATCATTTAGGCCTGGCTTTTCTGATGTGTGGATTGTATAGAAATAGGAATTAGCAAGTTTCCCTTGTATTTGAGATATGCTAACTTCATCCACAGAGGCCAATGGGGTTGTGGAAATTAAACGAGGTATTAGTTTCCTCTGGAACAGTGCTGTAGGCATGATGACATGCTATTCTGAGCAGACTTTCCATTCTAATGACCTGGACTCTTATGCTCTATAGACTTCATCAGGGCACCATGACTGAGACCTTGTCTTAAGGCTCTAGAAATTTTCTCTCAAAAACTTGGATGAGCTATATCTCATTACATTTTTGGCATAAATTGCTCTGTTGGCTGACCATAATCTGTGACAACATGCTCATCTGTCTTACATTTTTATAAGCCCTACCCTTCAGTTTACTATCACTAAAGCTTGATGGTGGCCCTCTCCAATGGGGAAAGACAAGGGGCAGCCACCTCACCGTTGTCTCAAGTCCTGTTTGCCAAGCAGAAGTCCTGTCTTTAGAGCTGACCTAGAGGCTCAAGTGGAAGGAAGAGCCCCCCTGTGCTGGGAGGAAGCTCTCCGGTGACGGCAGCTGACCTGGCCGGGCTGGGGCCGCACAGCTCTGCTGGTTGCAGGGCCACTGCCTAGTGGTTGGGGTTTGTGACTCCTCCTTTGTTGTGTTATCCAGGAGAAGACCACTGTCCTATGAGATCAGTACGTTCCCCTGGAATTACCTCTTAATTAACTTTTCTGGTACTTAATCATCATAAGCCTATTTAATATCTAGGCAATGTGGGAGAGTGCCGATGGGATTTCTTGTATTAGCAATAAGATAAGGGCCTTGGAAACTGTTGAATCAATTCTCATTAATGTTGATTTATAGGACCGAGGGTTTACCAGCTGTCTGCTAGCTGGCAGGTTAGCATTTAGATGGGCTTTGTGGAGACGCTCAAATTTAACGGACTCTGGACCCTGGCCATTTCAGCGTGTCCTGAATCTGTGAAACTTTACAGCAATTGTGTGGGTTTTGTGTTTTAGGGAAAATACAGAGTCACCAGGATGGGTTAGGATATAAACCAGGGCCCATCTGACTATTCACACTCCCATCCACAAGACCACACAAAAAGGGAATCAGGGACAGGAATTTGAAAGGGCCATGTAGTGTGCTTTGGAACTATTGAAAATTAGGCTGTAGTTACATTACTGGATGGGAATATAAGTTATTTCCTTTATGGAGAGCAATGCGGCTACAACTATCAAAATTACAAATGTGTATAGTCTATCGCTTAGTGATTTCATTATCTCTGAGAATTATCCGACAAATAAACTTCATTTGAAATGAAATGTGTTTGAGGTTATAAGTGTAACATTGTTTAAATTATACACCAATAAGTTACTGGGAACATAAACTATAGTCTACTCGGGCAACGGAATGCTATGTTGTTATGAAAAAGAATGAAGAAGCACTCAATAATGCTGTGCAAAGATCTCCAAGATATATTATGTAACAAATAAGGTTCAAGACAATGGGATGATACCATTTTATTAAAAAAGGACAAAAATTAAATATATATATATGTGTGTGTATATATATATATATTTATACACACACACACACACACACACACACACACACTGAGTGGCCAGATTATTATGATCTCTGAACAAATAATAATCTGGCCACTCAGTGTATATCCTATATAATAAAAGCCTAATATGCAAATTGTCTCCTTGACCAGGAGTTCGACCAGCAGGCAGGCCGGCCAACAGTCCATGTCCCCTCCCCCTGGTCAGACCCCACCCATGCACAAATTCATGCACCGACCTCTAATCCTTTAATACACACACACACACACACACACACACACACACGGGGAGGAGGAAGAGAGAGAGATTCTGTATATGTATGAACTATCTCTAGAAGGATACATACATGTGAATCATGTAGCTTAGACTGTGGGGAGAAACTGAGTAACTACAGGACAGAATTAAAGGGGAGATCTTTCATTGTCAATAGAACCATGTCATTATGAAACCTAAGAGAATCATTGTAAATGGAGCCTAAAAAAACATTCCTAAGTGTCTTAATTGCCTGTGTGTTACTGTTGGATAAATACTAAGGGTTCAGCAAAAGTTTACATCCGTTTCCCTAGACTTTACAATAATGCGGTTGTATAGACACCCGGAAGACGTATTGTTTGGTTGAGTGTCTATTTTTTTAAAACAGGATGAGAGAAATGCTCATTTTTATATGGACTGTCCATCACTGTGTGACCCTGAACTTTTAATGTGTTATTGCTGCTTCTCGCAATCCCAGGTCACCATGGAAGGGTTATCAGGCAATATTGCCCTCCTAAGCTCCTCAGAGAATGTCGGAGCTACACAGAACAAAGACCAGAAGGCTGTGAGCACCTGCTCAGGCTTAACTACAAACATGGATGTCTTATGTCTGTGACCCCACAAAGAAGACATAATGGAAATAAATGGCATTGTATAATCTACGGAGGACATACAGACATTCCCTCTTGCCCACCCCCACCCCCCAAAAAAAATTTCATGAAACACTTAAGAATTTAGTCATATTAGGCCAACATATATCTTAAAACCTATTAAGTTATCTAAATGATAACTTTACTTTCTTGGATCACAAAAAGCTAAAACTTAATCACAAAAGTGTAAAATGAAAAGTTCTCCCCTGAGTAGCTCTGCAGTCAAACACTCACCAGGGAGTGTTGTTAGAGGCCCTGTTCTGTGGCAAGCAGCCAGGCCTATGGAGGGAAGAGTCTTGCATTTCAATTTTTTCATCATTAAACAAGTTAAGCATAGATGTAATTAAACTAGCAATTCAAAAGCTGGGGGGGTGGGAATGAGTAACAAAAGTAAACAGTGTAATAAGAGACAGGGATGAATAAAAATAAACACAGAAATTAATGATTCAGAAAGCAGGAAGGAACGGGTAGGACTAGCAAATTAAAGTAAAATCTAACTACCTTGTTTGCTTTAAAAAAATAATAAAATACTCCCAACATATTGGCCGAAAACATTCCTAGAAAGATAGAGGAAAGAACTACAAGCCATCAGGAATGAGAAAGGGAATGTAATCCCAGCTCTAAAGGAGATAAAACATACAAGAGAGATTCCTCTAAATCTTGGGGACTCAACCTGTGGTCCACAGACCAGCAGCAGTTGCAACGTGGGAGCTTACTAGAAATGGACACTCTCAGGCCCCAGCCCAGATCCACTGAGTCAAAATCTGCATTTTTACAAGATCCCCAGGTGGTCCACATGTACATGAAAGTTAGAATGATATTGCTCCAAGTCAGTGATTCTCAATCACGGTGACACACAATGACCAGAGCTATAAAAAAAATATTCCCTGGGATTCTGACTTCACTGACCTAACCATCGGGAATTTTCAGACTTGCCCAAGTGACACTAATGTGAAGCCAGGGTTGAGAATCACTGCTCTAAATTATTCTATGCAAATAAATGTTAAAAATCTCGATATAGCCCTAGCCACTCAGTAGACAGAGCGTCAGCCTGTGAGTTAAAGGGTCCCAGGTTCGATTACGGTCAACGGCACATGCCCAAGTTGCAAAGTTGGGGATGTCCAGGAGACAGCCGATCCATGATTTTCTCTCATCGTTGATGTTTCTATCTATGTTTCTATCTCTCCCTTCCTCTCTGAAATCAATAAACATTTTTAAAAAAAGACTGAGGATGATCACTTTGTAAATTATATAAATATCTCATCACCATGCTGTACCCCTGAAACTAACATACAGTAATAATGTGTGTCAATTGTAATTGAAAAAGATTTTTTTAAAAGACTGAGGGCTGGAGCTCAGTGGCTCAGGAGGAAGATGGTGCCATGACCAAACCATGGCATCACGTGGAAGGACAGATGGACGGATGAGGGGAACTGATGCAGACTTACCGTCTGTCCAACACTCTAGGCCCAACACGTGGCCTCATTTCTATCCCTTGGACTTCTTCACCCAACTGAGCGGCAGGAGTATTTCCACAAGGGCGTATCAACTACAGGAGTCAGAAGACCCCACCCCTCTGGGCCTCAGTTTCCCCCTCTATGAAATGATGAGGAGGATGCTGGGCCAGAGGATCCACCCCCAACCTGATGGTCACTTTTGCACCAGGGCTCCAGAGCGCTTTCCCACGGGAGGGAGCCTTCTCACAGAAAACTGCAGAGGAATGGCTGTCATCCTCCCATGAACTGCTCACTACCCTGGTTATGCTCCAACAGGACCAGCCGACAGGAAAACTACAGCCTGGAGCAAGCTCAGCAGCCACTGTCACCACAACCCCACCCATTCTACAACTAATGATTGACAGGGCGAGTAGCCCGACCCAAGCCCTGACTGAGAGTGTGAACAGTCACACTCCTGAACTGGCATTGCGATGCCCAGCGCTGAAACCAGCAAGCCTCTCAACAAAGGGAAGGGTGTCCTTCTTGAAACACACGTAAGCGTGTGTTCACGTGACATAAAGACTTCTGCACTCAGAGCTAGCAGGAAGGAATGTTCTCGGGAAACCTGTTTTCACTTGTCCACGTATCGCTCGCAGCACCCAGGATGGCAAGCAACAGCAGCATCTCACCTAAGCCGTTCTTCTTCTTTCTTCCGCAGGTTGAAGTCTCGCTGGACCACCTGGAGGACATGCTCGGTTTCATCATCCGTCAGGCTGGACAGGTCCAGCTTCCTCCCCATGACTCAATGCCAAACACAGACGAGAACACAAGACCTGGCAAAATCAAGGAGAGGTCACAAATTGAGGGGAGGATAAAAACTACCGGTGGATAAAGTCTACCCATTTTGTGACTTAACAAAATTAAATGCAGTGTTTACGTAAGGTCGTATCTTGCTGCGCTCTCCTACTCAGCAAACATTTACGGATGACTTCAGCAAGCCTGCAGAGAACAGGAAGTGATCATCTGCCGGTTTCACACATCCCTACTTAATTAATAGAAATAAACAAGTTGTTCTCCTCAACAAAACAAAGATACATGAGACCCGGTGTGGATTTCTAATGAAACACCTAGAGGTAATATCTCAAAAATCTAAATTTTATGGAACGTTTTACATTCTAAGTACCATATGTGATTGCAAAATAAAATAAGTGTTAATACTTTAAAATGTCCTCTTTACACTGTATATCCTTGAAGTTTTCATCACATGACTATAAAATATAAACTAGAAGTCAAGAAACTCTTTTCTGCAAAAGGAAAAATATATTTACTGCCCTAATTAGTTTGGCTCAGTGGATAAAGCACTGGCCGGTGGACTGAAAGGTCCCAGGTTTGATTCCGGTCAAGGGCATGTACCTTGGTTGCGGGCACATCCTTGGTAGGAGGTGTGCAGGAGGTAACTAATCAATGTTTCTCTGTCATCGATGTTTCTAACTCTCTATCCCTCTCTCTTCCTCTCTGTAAAAAAATCAATAAAATATATATTTTTTAAAGAAAAAATATATACTAAAATCTTATTTAGCCATTTTCTAGCAGGAGAAAAAGACAGTATTTCAAAGAAATACCTACCAGCAGTGCATAGCTAACAATTACAGAAACTACATGTCTAATGAACGGCTGCACGCAGGGATGAAATCAAATAAGTAATTCTAGCAAATAGCCCAGAACTGAAGGCCATCATAAACAGAAATGCAAACATCGTCAGCAAAATATTAGTGGACCACAATTCAGCAAGATTTCAAAAGAATTCCTGTATACCATGACCAAGTGGGTTTTATCTAAGTGATGCAAGGTTGGTTCAACATGTAAAAATCAATCAGTGTCATTGGGCACATTAACAGAATAAAAGGGGGAAATAATATAATCATGTCAATCGATGCAGAAAAAGCATTTGACAAAATTTAATACCCATTCATGATAGAAATCCTATGCAAACATAAACTAAAGGAAACTTCTTCAAACAAAAAGGTCATTAAAAAATAAAAGCAATAAAAAAAAACTACAATGAACATCCTACTCAATGATAAAAGACTGAATGCTTTCCCCTAAGATCAGCAAAAAAGGAGAGAATGTCTACTCTCATGACCTCTACTCAATACTGGATCTTTTTACTTTAAAGCTACATTAATCAAGACCGAGTGGTACTGGCATGTAGGTAGGTGTATTGGTTTGCTAGGGCTGTTATAATAGAGTACCACAGACTGGGTGGCTAGAACAACAGAAATTTATTTTCTCATAGTTCCGAAGGCTAAAGGTATGAGATCAAGATGTTGGCAGAATTGATTTCCTGTGAGGCTTCTCTCCGTGGCTCATAGATCTGTCTCCTCCCTGTGTCCTCATCAGGTCTTCTCTCTATACATTTCTGTGTCTAAATATCTCTTTTTAGGGGTCTCCAGTCATATTGGATTAGCGCCAACCCTAGTCACCTCATTTTAACTGAAATGTCTCTTTAAATATCCTATCTCCAAATACAGTCTCAATCTGAAGTAGGGTTAGGATTTCAACATATGGATTTCGGGATGATCTATAGCAGCCATGTTTTATCCCCCTCTAAATCCACATCCTTCTCACATGTAAAATACATTTACCCCATCCCAAGAGCCACAAAAGTCTTAGCCTATTCCAGCATCAATTCTAAGTCCAAGATCTCATCTAAATATCAGCTCAATTAGGTATAAGTGAGACTTGAGCTATGATTCATTCAAGGAAAATTCTTTTCTAGTGATAAGCCACATCTCTAATGAAAGCAGATAAGAAATTAATCTGCTTCCAAAATACACCAGATAAGAAGTTATCTTCGCCAAAACCTGTTTGGCTCAGTGGTGGAGCATCTGTCTGCGGACTGAAGGGTCTCGGGTTTGATTCTGGTCAAGGGCATGTGCCTGAGTTGCGGGCACATCCCCAGTGGGGGATGTGCGGGAGGCAGCTGATCAATGTTTCTCTCTCACCATCGACGTTTCTGGCTCTCTATATCTCTCCCTTCCTCTCTGTAGAAAATCAATAAAATATATTTTAAAAAAAAAAAGTTATCTGCTTCCAAAATGCAATAGGTAGGACAGCCAATGAACAGATATTCCCATTTTAGATGGAAGAAACTGGAAAGAAAGGGGTGTTGGGTCTCAAGCAAGTCTGAAAGCAGAGCAAATCCTCTTTGGCTCCATGCTCTATCTTTGTGCCCACCAGGTGGCCCTGCCTTCTGAGCCCACGAGGACAGCTGCCCCACCCTTGACCCTGGGTGCAGCCACCGTGCTCGGCCTGCTGAAATCTAGGAGATGGACCCACCCACCCAGACCATGGGGACAGTGGCAGCCCTACAGACCTAGGAATTGCCTTTTGGATCATTCTTCTCTTTTCTTGAAAAAAGAACACGTTTGTAGCCAGGTGACTCTATGGCTCATCCTGCAGAACCTCAGAAGTCCAATAGGCTGCCTTGACTTCATCCTGTGTCTGTCTAATCTAAGCTGGCAGGGTTTCTGTTCATACAAGTTCTCAAAGGTTTTGTTGGCTTCCAATGCAATTTACGGGGGACCAAGCCTCCAGACCAGAGGGTCCTCTGAGCATCTTTCCTAAACAACTGAATCTCCATTCCCGGTTTTTGCTGACATGGTTGATTGGTTCCCTGAGTCATATGTGTCATTCCTTTAGCACATTGGTCGTCCAGCCACACCCTTGTTGTTCTCATTTTTGCAATATGGACAGACTAAGGACTTTCCAAATCTGCATGTTCTGGTTGCTTTTGCTAAATAACTGCTCCTTCAATTTATCTCTCTGTTCTCACATTTAACTATAAGCAGCAAGGAGAAGCCAGACCATGTCTTCAACACTTCACTGAGAAATGCCTTCAGCTAAATATCCAACTTCATCTCTCACAAGTTCTGCCTTCCACGAAATACTACACACAATTCAGCCAAGCTCTTTGCCACTTTCCTCCAGATTCCAATAACATGTTCCCCATTTCTGAGATCTCACCAGACCCAGCTTTAACATTCAAATTCCCACCAACATTCTGTGCGTGATGATGTATGTTTTCTCTAAGTGGATAGATCCTTTCTCTACTGCTCTCCTTTCCTTCCTCAGCCCAGCACAAACACCTTTAACATCCATATTTCTCCTTATAGGTCCTTCAAGGATGTGTAGGTTTTTCCTGGCATGTACCTCAGCGCTATCCAGCCTCTGCCCATTACCCAGATCCAAAGTCACTTTCACATTTTTGTACAGAGGAAACAAAAATGGCCAGTGCCCAATGTGTAACTTCATTGGTAGTTACACAACTGCAAATTAAAATCTTATTTCACACCCACCAAAAGAAAAAGTCTTCATCAAGTGTTGACAGGGGGTGGGACAATGGCAGTTTTCAGATAGTGGGTACAAACTGGTACAATCTATAATAATAAAAGCAAACTAACCTATTGGTCAGAGCATCTGCCCCCTGGTGGTCAGTGCACATCATAGTGAGCGGTTGAGTGGCCATAGCATATCATTAGCATATTATGCTTTGATTGGTTGAATGGCCAACTGGACGACCAGACACTTAGCATATTAGGCTTTTATTATATAGGATAACATTTAATATTCTTAACTTCCACAAAATCCTAAAGGCAATCACTACCTGTGTCACCTCTTACATATGAAAAAATGCAGACTCATAGTTAGATTTCTGACTAAAACAAATGACAAACGATAGGTAAGGTCTGATGGTGGCTCAGACTGGCTAAGGGGCCACATTCCCTGCCCTCTCTTTCTAATGTGTGACAACTAAGAACAGGACATCCCAGAATTTGGTTGCTATTTGGACGAAGGTGATCTGCCATTATAATCTCCAAATAATGGCAATAATCACAGGGAACAGAACAGTCTCAGTCCTTAAAAGTCTTTTGTTAAGTAATTTAAAAACCTCATGACTGTATGATGCAATCTAATCTCAAGATTTAACCAACAAATCACAACAAAAATTTCAACTATTAAAATTTTCTAATTAATGAGATTTGTCAAAAGCAAATCTTTGGTCCACTTTGCCCAAGTGATGTGGGGGGTGGGGGAGGTGGAGGTGGGGACAGGGAGAGAACCTAGGGCACCTGCTGGTCCTTAGAAGTCAGACTCCACCTGGGCTGCAAAAGTAAGAGGGAAGCTTTATACATTGCCATCTTGTAGTCTCTGAAGGTTAGGAAGAATCAGGTTAGAGGGCACCGTGAGAATGCAGGCGACTTCTTCCTTTAAAACACCCTCCGGAAGGTAATAATGGCACTTTGAAAGTTCTCAGAAGGTGACACGTCTGTCTCCTTCACTTCACTTCACTGGTGTTTGGCTGCTGAAAATTCTAAATGAGATTCTGAGGTTCCCCATTAGTAAGACTAAAGTGGCGGCTTTGATCATATCAAATCTAAGAAGAAGAAGAATCTGAGCCCAGGAGAGATAAATGGTTTCTGTAAAAAATAAATAAATAAATACAGTGGCTCTAAATGGACAAGACAGAGAGCGATGAGGAAATCTGTTTTGGGGGGAAATGGTAAAAGCTTCTTCCTTTTTTCTGCAATAAACACAAGTAGATTCCCTGAGCAACAAGAGAAATAGCATCTTAAGAGCTGGAGAAGCCTTACTGCCGGTGAGTCAGAGGTCACTTGCGTGTGATTTTTCATTGAAAGAGGACAGACTGCAAGCCTAGGAGGAGTGACTTTCCAGACAAAAGCAGGTTCAGATGCTCCTGACTTCCACACCAGTCAGTGTGCCTGCCCCTGGGTGGCT